CTGCATTATTCACCAAATCACATTCCTCCAAATTATCTCCCATACGTTTCTTTGTTATCTTTGTCTAACGGAAATANACATTTTTAACGTTTCCTTTGTATCTAAAGGAATACCCTCTAACGTTTTATGTAAACCACTCCTACTTCTTTATATATATATTCCTTTTTTGTATAAAGGTTTGGTCTGGACTAGTGCTCTTCTATAGTATTCTTATAACAGCCTTTGACTCACGGGCAAGCGATTTCTACTCGTTATTCTTCAATAATCCTCCTGATCAACCCTGTATTATATCAATAAAGCGGTAAAATTTACTCTGCGTCCTCACAACGTATATTCGACGTCTTCACAAGGTAAGCCTTTAATTAAAGTTCTGCTTGATCTTAACACAAGGCTAAACCTTCCAAATCTAAACGACTCGATAAAGGAAAGGAATAAATTTTTCACAACAGTCAGATTTGATTCAATTTTCATCCCCTTTTTTTGTTCAATTGTGAACCAAGGCTCTTAGCAGCATCCTCATACTACGTTATTTTCACTGTCAACACATCTCTTATAACAATCATTATTCTTGCACTAAACGCGCTTATCATATCCCTATATTATTAGTAATTAAGCATAAACGTCTTAGACTAAGGACAACCAAGCATTCCAACCAAACTCTCCTATCGAAAGTGAGCGAGCTACAAGGAGTTTGTGCCCTCACGTAAACAATCAAAAAAGAGACCTCATCCGCAGCGAGAAATTCTCAATATGCTTTGCACAAATTAATTTTTACAATGCAGTACAACAGCTGAAATAAAAAATAAGAAGCAAGTGACAAGAATTTAATTAATAGACAATTCAAATAATCAACAATATCAGAAATAGCAATGTATTTCAGTTTAAAATGCCTACTCAGTTTTATAATTTTCCTTGCGTGATTTCAAAGAGAGATTATTCAGGAAACACTTTAGTGCATACAGTACAGTTGAAGATTGGCCTATTTTTGTTGTGAGTTGCTATGTGATATGGCAAATAAAATTGTATTCGGAATCTTTTCTTGCATATCGGACAACTGTACGGCTTCTCACCGATATGAGTTCTTATATGAACATTGATATTTGTTACTTTCTTTTGACATATATTATACTGCGATTTCTTCCTTTTACCCATATTTTTTCACCCAACGCTCTCTTCTTTGACTGCTAAGTTCATTAACTCTATCCATCTTTTAGTTTCCTTTTCAGTTATCAACCCCTATTGTCCCATTTGTCCTTCATTCACTCCTTGCATTTGGTAAATCCAACAGCTCTGTTTTTTCTGTTTATGTCTCCCCATATTATGTGAAATTATCAATCTTACACTGTGTTAAAAACTTTTTAGAATCTAAAAAGAAATTATTGTTGTGCTTTTCCTGCTTTTAACAAAA